TGGCAGTGACGATCGCCGAAACGCGCGCCTTTCGACATACACCCCAACTTCCAACCTCATGGCTCGAGATTTTCCAAAAATCGATAAAATCGATAAAGTAAATCTTTTTTCATAACCAGCTTCCTCACTTTCCCCCTTGTACCAACTCCCAGCCCCGCAGCTCAAACTTCTCCAAAAATCGATGAAGTTGGTCGGTTGGCAACTAGTCTATACGTCTATACATCAGCAAAAAGTCATATTTTACCCATTATGGAACGATCTAAAAAGCCGTCGATATAAATTTGATCAAAACTTATTTTAGAAGTACATGCAGGGTATTTATCTTTTTAGTAAGTTGTACTCGCTGAACATTTGTATAAGCTGGCGTTATATTTGAAGACATCTCGTAACTGGCAAATCGCGTACGGCGATCTAAACCGTCTAATCCTCCACTACAACTGCGATTCCTTTACTCAAAATACACCAATTCGCAAAAAATCTCTAAGGTAGCGAATAGAGGCAGTTGTACAATATAACTTAGCGAGCAAGACTGCTCACTAGTGCGGACTTTGCGTACCACAAGCATGAGTAATGCAAGAAAAACAGACATTTCAAAACACTTTCGATATAGTACTACTCGGAACATGAGCTTGAATTTGATGTCTTCTTTGCTGATTTGGTGCCAAAAACAGTGCGAACAATCTCATTGATCAAAAAGCATCAATTAAAACCCACATATTTTTTACTGTCGCAAGCAGTCGAAAGAATGCGACTCTCCATACAGTTCAGAGGTCATAACGGTTGCAAAGGATGCATTACCGAGTTTTGCGAAAAAAAAACGCGAACGAAGTGAGCTTGATACTCAGCTCTGACTACGGAGTTCATTCGAATACAAACCGAATAAACATTCGAATAAAACATTCGAATAAAATCTACTCGAAACCCCATTTTTTGATTATTCGAGTTTTCGAATAATATTTGAATCCTCGTTTTTTGATTATTCGAGTTTTCGAATTTTATTCGAAACCCTGTTTTTTGATTATTCGAGTTTCGAATTTTATTCGAAACCCCGCTTTCTCAATTATTCGAGTTTCGAATGTTATTCGAGAATGGAAGAACTTCGAATATCGAATTTCGAATACGAATATATTCGAATGCTTTATTCGAATGATCGAATTTTTATTCAATTCGGACCCAAGTATAATAGGCACCCACCATACTTGATCCGCTTAATCCGCTTGATCCACTTCATCATTGGTCAATTCAGTGAACTGACCAATGGTGAAGTGGATGAAGTGGATCAAGCGGATCAAGCGGACAACCCGCTTCGCTATTGCTCAATTCAGTGAATCGACCAATGACGAAGCGGATCATGCGGATCAAGTGGATTAAGCGGATCGAGTATGGAGGGTGCCATACAGCTATAAGTAAATTTTAAATCATTTTATTTCAGAACGCACGCTCTCGAACGTTTGTAAAATCAGCAAAAAAAGCAGCATACGCTAACACATCAAAGGTAGCGTCCAGGCAGAATCTCGACTTCTCTTTTTTACTTTATCCAAGCCTCTTCATGACGCTGATTCCAAGTATGGCAGTCGAGATGTGTGAATTCCTCAAAAAACCCCATTTTTGAGACAATTTTGTGAAAAGCCTGGACGAGTACTCCCAATGCTATCTTTGTCTAAAGCAAGCATTAACAGGTAGACACTATGTTTTCAATTGTGTTTGCCACGTAAAAACACGTCAAGGCCTGAAGAAAGTTCGTTCAGGAGGGCGGGCCGTTCGCCCATTCTCTCGAACGGCCCCTCTCCTTGACGAACTCTTCTCAGCCCCTGACCTGTTTTCACGTGGCAAACAGGGTGGAACACATAGTATCTACCTGTTAATGCTTGCTTTCGACAAGATTGCAATAGAAGCACTCGTCCGGGCTTCACACAAAATTGTCTCAAAAATGGGGTTTTTCGAGAAATTCACGCATTTCGATTGCCATATTTGGAATCAGTGCCATAAAGAGGTTTGGATAAGGCAAAAAAGAGAAGTCGAGATTCTGCCTGGACGCTGCCTTTAAAGATCGGAACTGATCTGCCAACTGCACGAAACATATTACCGTGACTTAACAGGAGCGCTGATAAGAAAGGTCATTTTTAACCGCAGAAAGATTCTGAAAGAAGTCATAGGAGCGTCTCGCTCACAAGGGAATGGTCAGAAGTCAAAGTGGCCAATCCAAACAAGCTGTATACCATTCGATGCAGCATCGAACGCTGATTTCAAATCTTCCTTCCGTATCTGCAGAGCGCCTTTGTAGACGAAGTTATGAGCAGCTTTACTGCGCAAAAATTGTACACAAAAGTTGCGAGACTAGGCACACTGTTGCCGTTTTAGCTCATCTTTGAGTACGAGCCATATGAAGAGACCTAGTTGCATGTTTTGGTCCAACACTGGGCCGAGAGTGGCTCTGTACGGCCAAGTTTGACCTTTACACATACGATTTCCCAGCAAGATTATGGCCTTTAACGGCTAATAATTTCACCACAAAAGCGCTCTGCAGATAAGGAAAGCAGATTTAGAGTCAGCGTTTTATGCTGCATCTAATGGTTCGCAGCCTGTATGGATTGGCCACTTCGACTTCTGACCATTTCTTTGTTAGGCTAACGACTCCAATAAAAAGCTGAGCAATTTTGCAGCTGCCGAGTGAAAAACTTAACTTGATGCTAGGATTCTCGGGTCAAGCCTTACTATTCACTTTCCTTGTTTTTTACTGCAATGAAAAGCTGAGTTTGTATATAGATGGATATTTATCACTTACGCCATTTTGGAAGCTGTGTATAACTAGGTTTTAAAAACTTTACCACTACATGCTTTTTAACTATCAGTTAAACTGTTGGCAGTATAAACTGAAATGCATTTCACGCGGCTGTCAGCCTTGCGAACTGATACTAAAACTGGCGGAAACGATATCGGGTCTTATTTCATACCGACCTGTATAACCGTGCAAGTATTCTGGTTGCTTGACACCGTCCCAATATCACTGCGCTTGCTGCAGAGACTGCATTATGATACAATCCTATGAACTCGATCTTTAATATTGGCATAAATAGGAGAGGGAATTCCTTCAGACCTTTTCGCAACAAGTGAAAGTCTAGCTATTTTTACGACAGAGTGAATGACTTTGTGGTGCATGGAATGAGATTTTCCGGGGAGGAGCATGACCCTGCACAAGATCCGATTCGTTGAACCCAATTTTTCAAAATTTATCATGTAAGTAGTATTGGTGTACATCTCATAGGTTCCAACAAACTGAGAGTGACCGGCCCTTGTAAGGATGTTAAAGTGAACGCCCTACCTAAGCAACTGAAGTTTGGAGTGAAAAAAGAGGGTCTCCTGTGCTCAAAATTTTCCCCAAAGTGTCCTGATTTTATGAATCCTGCGCAGCAATTTCAAACTGCAGGCTAGAGCGCACACAGTCAGAACGTAAAGTTCTACGACGACTCTGCCTTTCGCGTCGTCAAGTGGTAATCTTGTGGCTTCAGGAAAAGCTCATTTTTGAAATTTTCGCCCCGTGCAGGCTGACGTTGCACAGTGCTCATATCTTTACAAACAGTAGATTCAGATGCTTAATTCGAGTTGAAGCTTGCATTTACCTGCAATTTGTAACAATCAGCTGTTGGAGTGCACTGTACGGGAAATCTAAAAAGGACATTCGTTCTCGGAGATAAATTTCCATCTAGTTCTTTCATAGCAGAAAATTGTGACAACTTTGTCGCTGCAGCTATCTTGAATGTATCTTCAAAACCTTTACTTTCACATTCTGCCCATCATGTGAGAAAATTATAAAGTGTTCAAGACCTTTGTTTAGTAGAGCGAGCCATTGAGCTAACTTGAGTCATAATTCTTACTCTTGTCATATGTGGATAATTGAATAAAAACTAACGCATATTAGGTTGGTGCAAATGTTTTGTCAGTTTTTTCAGTCTATCGGCAAACACGCTAGAATGAACATAAACAAACACTTCAGAATGTATCCATTGCGAAATCTCTTCCTCTTTCCAGGTGCTAAACTCACATTGTGTTTCGTTGCGAAAGTGACTAGATATTTGCTGGAAATTACAACCACTCGTTTTTACCATGTCCAAATTTCGCTAATTTTCAAAATTTTTGTACGAGACTTTCGGAGGAGCCCTAATAACCCGCAGATAGAGCAAACCTTTTGTCAACAGAAGGAATTTTTTGTAGCCCTACAGCTTGTCTTTTAGAATTTCTACGATTTATTTTTTGAAGTGACCAGATTATACATTCAGCCTATTTTGATCTCGTAGAACATAAAATATTAAGCACTTCAGTCACCATTCGATGCAGATTTTTCTCCTCTTTCTGATACTTGTCTTTTTTTTGCCGAGACAGAGAAATTTGTGGGGAAAATCGCAGTACTTCTCAGTTTCAGGAGTGCGCACTGACGTAACCAATGTTTCAAAATCTTCATAATTTGAATCGAAAATCGCTCATTTAATTTGTAATGGTAGCGGTAGTAATAATCATGTGCTGAAACCTCAGTTTTCTGTAGGTTTTGCAGTGTTTGATGCAATAACAGGTTATGTTTCCAAAACACATGACTTTTAGAAAATTACTTAGCAAAAATCTGAAAAAGCAGCCGAAAAAAAAGAAAAAATTTGCATAAGGTGGCAAAAGGTTTGCCCTATCCGGTGATTATTAGGTCTCCCCCGAAAGTCTCATACAAAAATTTTGAATATTAGTGAAAGTGGGACATGGTAAAAACGAATGTTTGCAATTTCCAGCGAATATCTCATAACTCTTTCAACGAAACACAATGGGAGTTCAGCAGATGGAAAGAGGAAGAGATTCTGCATCGGACCCGTTTTGAAGTTTCAGTCTTCATCCTAACGGTTGAAAAAAGTGAAAAACCTTTTCACCGACGTGATAAGTCAGATCTTTTGGAGTAATCCTAATAACTTGTTTAGATCGTCCTCAAGCAATACTCCGTCAATCCATACGGTTCTGCATAAAACATGAACAAGAGCATTTTATTAGTGTACATCTATTATACAATATGAAAAACATTAAATCACGACGTCGATCGCCTCAAAAAGATGGCAGTCCCAATTACCACCAGCCTCCTCCAAATCGACGACCGAAGCCACCATAACCTCCGTAGCCTCCGTAACCGCCATAACCGCCGTAGCCTCCATATCCTCTACCCCATCCTCCATATCCGCCATAGCCTCCCCACCCAAATTGTCTTTTTTCTCGGATAATGGGAGCGCTATAAAGAGCATTTAAGGAAGAGGTTGCATGTGTATGTGATTGGTAGAACTGACTCAGCTGGAATATCGTCAGGGCTGAATTCCAGCATTTCCTCAGCGAAGCATACGACAAGGAAAGCTAGTAGAAGGCAGAGTGTGACTGAGCGCATCCTGAAGGAAAATGAATAAAGAGTAAGATTTTTGTTGTATCAAATAATCGACAGCGAAAAGTTTATAAATTATCTTTAATTTCGTAACTTCGAACCGCTCAATTTATGTATGATGTACAAAAATGAGTGAGAATGTTAGCAATATGTTGAGGGAACTGTGCACTGTTAAAAGATGTATATTGACAAAATAAATTATCAGTTAGAGACTTGAGAGAGATGTAGTTTTGTAGATACGGATCTGCTGCAGGCGTTACCACAAACGCTTTTATACTGTCTTCGAGTTGAGCGAATAATGACTTTACCAGCCTTTTTTATGCGAACAAAACCTCTCTTCGACCAAAACGGCTCATCGATCGTTTGCGTTCGTCCAATAATCACATATGTTTGGTTTGATGTGAATCATCTATGAAAAAATTTTTAGTTTGTAAGATGTTTGGCAAAATAAGTTACTGATGAGCACTGTTTGATTCAGTATATCGAGAAATTACTCAAAAAAAACGACTTGATTCATGCAACAGCAAAGAACATCACAAAAGGCTGTCCCACCATTCTATCACTGTGTGCATTCCGGTTTCTTAAACATGGGCGCGAGGCTCTTTTGGAACAACCTTGCTTTTTACAAGTATGAAAATTTTCAGATGTTCTGTTCGAGCACGAACGTAAAAAATGGATGGTATGGTTTACCTGGCCTAGTTTATAGACGTATCAATAACCAATAAGTGAAATTTCAATATAGAAAGGTAACGATTCAACAAGCCTCGTGAAAAGGTTTCTAGCTTGCCTGGCTTTTTCTCCAAAGCAAGGTGTAGTACTCAAATGTTCAAAGCTCTTTGTGCTCTTACCGCATTCTTACAATAATGAAGACTAGTCCTTGAAACTATATTCTATTATATAATTCGAACGTGAATTTTGAAGGAAGTTTTATGTCATGTACAACACCGCTCACAGAATGTGCAAGATTTCCGTGAATGTCGCGAAATTCCGAAAATTCCGCAAGCTTTCCGGAATTTCGCGAAATTTCGGAAAGCTCGCGAATTTTCGCGAAATTCCAGGAAATTTCGCGAAATTTTCGGAATCGCGATAATCACGGAAATTTTGCACATTTTGCGAGCGGTATTGTACATAATTGTAAGCGAATGTTGTTCGGATGATACAGTTACTACGATTGAACAAATGACACGTACATACATTATTGTGAGACTCTCTGTAAGTCAATATTTTGGTCTTTTTCAATCTCATCGAGTTTACAAGTCTCCTGCGCTATAACATTAGAATTATGCATCATATTCTCAGACAATCGTCGGTAGGCGGTACAGGAGAAATTCAAATTTTAGATTTTTCGCGCTTTACTCGCGACTTTCAAATAGCGGTTACGGCAAGTGGCAGTGCCGCTTATTGATTTCTTCGTTGAAAAGTTAGCAACATATCCGCAAGAATTCGGAGCGAGATAGTATTCAACGGGCGCTCTCTATCTCGCTGACAATTTTCCAGAATTTTGCAAGCGCAGATTCTCCAATGCCTACTCACTGCGATTACGGCGGGCGGCGGTTTTCTGTGAACAAATCAATTCGTTTAAGGCAGTGTTCCAGTAGACTTTTTTCTCCCAGTTCTGCATATTTCAATCTTTTTATCACCTAAAACACAAACTCAAGCTTTCAGTTTTGGGAAAGACCACCTAGAGTTTACCGTTTACCCCCCTTTCTAATAGGGAGCTCGACAAGAGTTTAATTAGAACATCGGAGGTTTCGGAGCAAATTTGCCGTAGTTTTTGCAAGGATGGCATAGTGCCGGTGCGGTCCTGGTGTTCCCTTTTCAAACAGGTAAGCGATGCCGTTTAAGCACGCGCAGATTTAGGGACTATTTCCTTGGTGCAGGTGCAATATCATCCAGCTGGATTGAGCCTGGAGGTTAAGGGTTGACCGAAAATCTTACCACAGTCAAGCTCTAAGGTGGTATTTATGCTTTAGCGCCAATTTTATCTACCGGAGGCTCAAAACCGGAAATAAGAGAGTTTTGAATGACTTCTATTTAAAATTCTTACGGAGGCCCACCTCGCGCCCGTTTAAAGTTTACATCAGACATTTATATGTACAGTTAGCAATCGCATAAACTTTCCACTCGAATTCTGGAGCCAAAATGTAAAAAAATTTGGTACGTGCTCTCCGCATCAGACATGCACGTACACAGTATGTGAAATTTTGCCCTTATCAGAATAAGAGAAACAAAAATGAATCAAAATACCGACATGTTTACAATATTGGAGAGATTTCGGAGCAGTTTTCATGATGCAGGATATGAATGGCAAAATATGTGGGTTGCTCCAAAGAATCTCACACCAGTCTTAAGAAAGAAAAGTGCACATGGTGGTGGAATGGTGAAACAGCGCCTGTGGTATCGTCTGACTTTGGATGAATCAAGTAATCGTTTTCTGTTAACTTTCGATATAGTGGATCAAACTGTGCTCATCAGTGACTTAGTTTGTCAAACATTTTACGAACTGAATATTTCATAGATGATTACACATCACACCAGACTTATATGATTAATAGACGAACGCGACGAGGATGAGCCAAGTCATCTTGATCGAAGAGAGGTGTTGCTCGGACAAAAAAGGGTTGGTAAAGTCATCATTCGCTAAGGTTGAAGACGGTATAAATGTGTTTGTGGTAACCCCCGCAGCAGATCCATATCTACAAAACTACATTTCTCTCAAGTTTGTCTGATAGTCTATCTCTACTTTATAAATACTTTAGATACATCATTTAACAGTGTTTACTGTTCGCTCAACACATTGCTGACATTGTCATTCATTTTTTGACATCATATATGCGCTGATAAACTGAGCTGTTGATGATGTTACGATTCAATGATAACTTATAAGGCTTTTCGCTGTCGATTATGTGCTACAATTCAGGATTGCTTATATTTATTCATCTTCTTTCAAGATGCGCTCAGTCACACTCTGTCTCTTACTAGCTTTCCTTGTCGTATGTTTCGCTGAGGAAATTTTGGAATTCAGCCCTGACGATATTCCAGCTGAGTCAGTTCTATTAATCACATACACATGCGACCTCTTCCTCAAATGCTCTTTATAGCGCTCCCGTTATCCGAGAAAAAAGACAATTTGGGTGGGGAAGCTATGGCGGATATGGAGGAAGATGGGGTAGAGGATATGGAGGCTACGGCGGTTACGGCGGTTATTTCTACGGTGGTTATGGTGGTTATGGTCGTCGCTTTGGAGGAGGCTGGTGATAATTGGGACTGCCATCTTTTTGAAACGCTCAACATCATGATTTAATTTATTTTATATTGTATAATAGATGCATGCTAATAAAATGCTTCTGTTTATATTTTATGCAGAACCGTGTAAATTGACGGAGTATTGCTTGAAGACAATCTAAAAAACTTATTAGGATTGTTTAATTGAGGACCTAATTTATATACTAGTCCCATTCATTCATCCACATATGGCAAGAATGAAAATCATGAAGTTAGCTTAATGGCTCGCTCTACTAAGCGAAAACGGTCTTGAACAGCTTAAAAATTTTAATAATTCTTAATACAATGCGTAGAATGTGGAAGTAAAAGTTTTGGAGCTACATTTAAGACTCTGCAGCGAGAAAGGGGTTCCTAGTACTCAGATAACCGCCGGGGGCAGGCGGCCATGCGAATTTTGAGCAAGCGCGCACCGGAAAAATAGTTCGTTGATTTTTTGCGGCCCGCTTGCAGAAATTTGGAAGAAAGTTGGCAAAATTGAAGACGAATGCTTGAAGAACAATCGCGGTTTCTTTATGGATTAGCTGCGGCGCAGTGGCCGCATTCTCGCGGACTTTCCGCGAGAATATGCAAAATTTTTGAGGGCCGCACGGTCCTTTGTGGAGGACCGCGCAACCCCCAGGTACTTTCCGCTGAGAGAAAGTACCTCAAACTTGAGTAATTAAACCAACGGTGACACCTCTACCACACAGAGTCTTACCTGTGCTCGACGTACGCCCGAAAATACCTAAAAAGAGTCCGAGCGCTTGCTGAAAGTTTGGCCAGCGCTCGCTGGAAGATATTATTTGACGAGCGCTCGCAGAAAATTCTGTATTGCTGCCCGCTGGCAGAACGCGGAGGTACCGCCCGCTGAAGGTTTGGCCACGCCCCAAAATTCTGCTGACCGCCTGCAGAAAAGCGCGATTTTGCGGACCGCCTGCCCCCGGCGATTATCTGAGAAGTGTTACCCAAGCAGCCGACTGATGCTGAGTCAGCTGTCAGAGCTGGCACCAACGCCGCGGCTGAGCTGCCTCAAGCGCGCTCTAGTCGTAACAATCAAATGTAAGCAGCCGCTTACGCCAGCGTACGTACCGTTCCGCGAGTACGCCAACACCATCAAGCGGATGGACGAGGATGCCCGCCTCAAGGAGGTCGACTATACGGCGATGAAGACGCTGCAGTTCGTAGCAGGTCTTCAAGATCCCTCACTCAGGGAAATTCGCCTTCGGATGATTCGTCGACTGGACGCTCACACGGACGAAGCACCGTTGACAATCGGGGACCTAGTCGCAGAATGTGAGAATTTCACTGCTTTGAAAATGGATAACACGGACATGGAAGGCACGCGCGACATCCATGCAGTGTGGAAGAAAAAGGAGGTAACTTGTTTCACGTGCGGAGGACCACATTTCAGAAGAGACTGTCCACAATCCGACAACACTGGTCAGAGGAAGCGACGGAAGACAGGAGCGCAGTTTGGCCGCAGAAGACAGTGCAAACATGTGGTCGCTTTCGACGCCGAGAGCGCGCGGACCTACCTCGACGTCGTAATTAGAGGATGTAATCTCAAACTTCAGCTGGACACAGGTGCAGATATAACGCTGATATCACGCAGAGCTTGGAAGAGGATGGGATCCCCGGCTCTGGAACCCTGTGTGATGCCCGTGAAAACTGCAGGCGGGACGTCGATGAAGATATATGGTAAATTCTCAACCGACTTTTCCGTCAAAGATCGAGTTACAGGGAAGATGCTTCATGGAGATGGCACATGCTACGTCACTGAAGGCTCGAATCTACTAGGACTGGAATGGTGCATCCAGCTGCCGGCATACAAAAAGCTGAAGGGCAACTTCTATTGCAGAAAGGTGACTAGCGAAGAGAAAATTCGAGCCGAAGTGGTCGCCGACTTGAAGAAGAAGTATCGGGAAGTCTTCAACAGCGACCTAGGAAAGTGCACGATGAGTAAGGGCATCAACAGAGACATCAAAGACTCAGTGCGCCGCTGTAGGGATTGTCAAGAAGCCTCCAAAATGCCAGTGAAGACGTTGCTGCATTCATGGAAAGTAGAAGACAAACCATGGAATCGACTTCACATTGACTACGCAGGGCCGCTGAATGGTAAGATGTATCTCGTCGTAGTTGACGCTTACTCGCAATGGCCAGAAGTATTTGAGATGCCTTCATCGTCAACTACAGCTATCCTGAGAGAACTAAAATCTCTATTCGCTCGATTTGGAGATCCACAAGTGATCGTGTCGGATAATGGGACGCAGTTTACAGCAAAGGAGTTCCAAAATTTTTGTGAAGAGCGAGGAATCAAGCATATGCGTTCACCTCCATTCCATCCACAATCAAATGGACAAGCGGAGAGGTTTGTGAATATCTTCAAGAGAACCTTCCAGAAAATCAAGGAGGGAGGAACGGCAGAGGAGCTTGCGAAGTTTCTACAATCTTATCGACGTACGCCTTGTACAACTGCTCCAGGTCAACGTTCACCTGCCGAACTGCTGCTGGGACGTCAGATGAGGACACCGCTGTCGCTGCTGAATGAAGATTCCAAAGAAGAAAGAAAGATGGGCAACGAAACCATGGAGAAGCAGTTCAACCGCCACCATGGAACACGAAGGAAAGCGTACCAGCCAGAAGAAGCCGTGTGGGTACGTGATTTTCGCTCTGGATGTGAAAAATGGATTCCAGCACGAATGAAGAAACGCTATGGAGAAGCGCTCTATGACGTGCTTACAGAAGATGGACAGTTATGGAGACGTCATGCGAACCAGATGCGCCGCGCCGCGAGTATGGATCGACATCATGACTCAACACAGTCCATCCCTGACGAAGGCCGACGTAACAATGGTATGGATGCTGCTGAACACCAAGCCACCTCGTCTACGCCACCGACATCAACCAGACCAAGTCGCCATCGTCGCCCAACAGAACGTTTAAAAGTAGATCCTTATTGTAAGATGTACCATTGTTCATCTTAGGAGGGAGGTGTTGTAGAGCCGTCCCTCATATTGGAACTTGCTCGCTCACTATAGGCTAGGTCGATATGGTCTCTGTGGTTGCGGCGTACCTGCCGCACTTTGATATATTTGTGTGTGTTGTTCTCGAGCTATTCCTAGTGAACCCTCGGCATGTACGCCGATAGGCGGAAGGGGAACTCTTGTGTTTTTCTAATAAATCGTCAACGACTCAACGCGTTCCACAACAATTCCGCTTAGTTTCATTTAACATCGTCTCAGATTCAGTGATACTGCCCGAAAAGAGAACATGTCGCCCAAAACGAAGGTTTGAAAAAAATCTCCCACCAAGTCTTACGCCTTCTCGTCTCAACCGGCGACATTATCGCCCACAGAAAGGTCGCAGTGAACAGCTTTGGCGAGATTGTGTCGCTTTGCCGGACCCCCTTTCCAATTGAGATGGTCAGGAGGCGATGGAACAGCTGCATTATCGTTGTAGAGTCCTTGTAGCAGTCGACTAATGTCCTCACGTGGGCTGGGTCCACTCCTTGATCGACTAGAGCTTACAGATAGCGTTTGTTTCGACGCTGTCGAAAGCCTTCTCGTAGTCGACGAAGGTTAGGACGAGAGGCAGTCGATACTCCCGGCAGACTTCTATGACCCTCGAAACCGTTTGGATGTGGTCCATGCACTCAGATAATCGCCGGAGGCAGGCGGTCCGCAAACTCGAACTTTTCTGCAAGCGGTCAGCAAAATTTTGGGGCGTGACCAAACTTTCAGCAAGCGGTACTTTCGTTTCTGCCAGCGGGGCAGCAATACAATATTTTCTGCAAGCGCTCGTCAGGTAATTTCTATGAGCGGGAGCTGGCCAAATTTTCGGCAGGCGCTCGGATTTTTTTACGCAGTCTCGGGGGTACGCCAAGCAAAGGTGACACTCTACATAACGGAAATGGCATCGATGGTTCAATTACCCGAGTTTGGGGCACTTTCTCTCAGTGAAAGGTACCTACGAACTGTGCGGTCTTCACAAAGGGCCGTGCGGCCATGAATAATTTTGCACATTCTCGCGGAAGATCCGCGAGAATGCGGCTACCGCACCGCAACTAATCTATGGAAAAGCCGTAATTGTTCTCCGAGCATTTGTTCACAACTTCGCCAAAACTTTTTCAATATCTGCAAGCGAACCGCAAGAAATCAGCGAAATATTTTTCCGGTGCCCGCCCGCCCATAAATGGCACAACCGCATGCCCACGGCGATTATCTGAGCAGTCATCCAGTGTTCTACTCAGATAACCGCTGGGGGCAGTCGGCACTGCGATTCTTGGGTAAGCGGGCACCGGAAAAACAGTCGCTGATTATCTGCGGTCCGCCTGCAGAAATTTGAAAGAAAGTTGGACAGTTTTTAGACGAATGCTTCAGAACTGTCGCGGTTTTTCTATGGCTAAGTCGCGGCACATTGGCCACATTCTCGCGATATTCCCGCGAGAAATGCAAAATTAATGAGGGCAGCGCGGTCCTTTGTGAAGGACCGCACAGCCCTTAAACACCTTCCACTGTGGGAGAGCCCGGTTAGTTGTTACTACCGTTACTTTCAACTGCTTGGCTCCTTACATCTAAAAATCACAAAAGCGGTGATTCAGAGTATCTAAAACAAACCACATTTCAGACAAGCGCTGCCACATTGTATCAATTTATCGAGCATGAGGATTCTCAAAGTAACATATAAGCTGTACGTCGAAGCAATCCTTAGTTTTTGTTATATATGTTTCGTACCACAGAGACTTACTTAGGGTGCGGACCTTAGTATACCGACGTTTTCACAGAGTTTTCCTGTACTTTGCTCAAACATCCACGATCTTCTTGGTTATCGTCCGTGGCTGCCTCCTCGAGTTCCACTCAGATAATCGCCGGGGCAGGCGCCCATGCGATTTATGGGCGGGCGGGCACCGGAAAAATACTTCGCTGATTTTTTGCGGTCCGCTTGCAGATATTTGGGAGAATTTTAGCGAAATTTTAGACGAATGCTTGGAGAACAATCGCGATTTCCTTATAGATTAGCTGCGGCGC